GAAGTAATAAAATACAGTGGTTAGAATTCATAAGATTAGAGAATCAAAATTTGTTATGTACGAAGTCGAATATAAAGATGATGACGTAATATAGTGCATAGATCACAAAGGATCAAAAATTAAGTCCAGTATGAAAGTCAGGAGGGAAATGACGAAGTCAGAAGATTAAGAGTTACTATGGAAGGAGTTACCAGGGTTACTAAAGTCCTAGCACGGGTTCCTTTTGAACACACAAGTCAGGTTTCATCCGTTTTATTGTGACAGCCTCAGAAAACTGAAAAATACTTGGACTGTTTTGTTTTTCAATTATTTTGAATTATGTTTTTTGAGTTTGTCAATTGTTAAATGACTGATGGGTTTGAATTATTCACTTTCTTTAACCAAAGGTTCTTTGGTAAATGTTTAAAATACTTACATAGGCCCTTCTTTCTACCCCTAAAGTTATACATGAATTGATGTACACGGTCGGAGGTAACATATGAGGGATGTTTTTTGATTTTGACTGTGACAAGGAGTGGGATGTTCCGAGTAAAGTAACTAGATTTTCTGCCGGATACGTCCTAATCAGTGTTGTACTTAAGTGCTTATTTGTCATTCTCATAATATCATCAATTTTGAAGTCAAGCTGGATGAAGATCGTTTTCTTGCTGACCTTCATTATACCTGGATTTTTACATTCTTTCTTGTCGTATTTGTTGATATCTTAGAATGAAGCATTTTGTCTTCCTAATATTTTTGATTCTTCACAATTTGAAAGATAGTTTATTTCTCATTAGTGGTCACGAAAGACTATTCTAGGAGTAAAATAAATAATCAACACTTACAGAACTTCTTATTTAGTATAAATGGCTACAGTTTAAAGTAAACTTCTTTTGATGTTAGGCACAGTGCAGCACTTATTTTAGATGAGCATCTGTATCAGCGAAGAAACTATCAATCATCCTGCAGTTGAATTTATTTAAAAAATAATTTTGATTAAACATTATTATACATCTTTTTCAAGTTCGCTTTTATTCATGCAAAGTATTTCCATAGCGCAAAATTAAACATGAAGTTTATTTCAAGAAAGTGGACAATTATTGCGTATTAGTAAGATTACAAGGATACAATTCTCAAATACAAGTCTTAAATATTTACTGTTAATATAGAAAAAAAATCCTCATTTACATTTAGAAAGCAGAAGGATTGAGCGAAGAAATATTTACTTTTCAATTAGACCCTCAACTCCGCCTCTACTCTAATTTTTATTGCATTTTTATTACAATACACAACAATTTAAGAATCAAGTAGCGATATGTTTGTTAACAATAATTAGTCAGTATCAACATGTCAATGGGGTGATAATTAACGAAAAAAATTAAAACATACAATTAAAAGGTTGAAATGGTTGCAACACATGGACTGCGTAATGCATAATTTTGGAAGGTGAAGAGTAATTAAGGAATAGGCGTGTGCACAGGTTGATTACGCAACACCCATTCGGACATTAGAAAGAAGAGAACACGAAGTTCAGCAAAGATATCTTTTCTGCGATTTCATTTTCAAAAGCTGTACAATCGCATTTAAATACATAATTTTACATGGAGACAATTCTTGTTTGATTCTACATAATAACGACGGCGAATAAAAGGTGATAATTATTTCCAACTAGATATAGTTTTTACGAGAGGCTTAGAAACAAAATTACACAGGATTAGAACGGATATCAAGTGTGTAAAAATGAGCATGGAAACAAAAATTGATATAATAGTTTTAACTTAAAATGGAAGTTAGGAGGTGTGAATATAGATTACAAGAGCCTTAGAAACACAAAAAATTGCACAGGATTAAGATATAATTGTTAATTTTTTTTAAAAACAAATTATAAATGTGAACAGGTTTCCTGTTCTGATTACGTAACAGGCTGTTAAAGAAAATAAAACGATTTGGCCGAAGTGGTCATAAGAATTAAATAATTTTACAAAGATAACATGTAATTAAAGATGAAGAAGTCAGAAAAAATAATAAAATAATTTGGAAAATTGTAATTTTTATAATTTTTAAAGGTTTACGGGGAGGGGGGCGAAGTAGTCCGGTTTATACATTCATGTAAGGATGGTCAAAGTAAGGAAATTGATTGTACAAATTTCTTCTGAACACACAGGTTTGGCTTATTCAGGTGGATTCCTATTGCTTCAACTGTATATAGAAGACGAACTCGTAAAGCAAAATTAAGATTAGTAGGAATGCGATAAATAATTTTAAGTGCAGTATTAACGTCAACCTTATGCTCACTATCTACAAGGTGTACTAAAATAGAAATATGAATAGATCTTGTTTGTCCCTTGCTTAACCATGTTGGATGATGTTCGGAAATACGACGATGAACCTGCTTAATTGTACGCCCAATGTAGCTGGCTCCGCAGCTGCAGTCAAACTGGTAGATACACATAGAGGAGGCAAATTTAGGTAGTTTATTCTTATTTCTCGTGTGTCAGTGACATAGCGGTAGAATACTCGCCAACCACGCAGGTGGTCCGGGGTTCGACCCCCGGCCGAAGCACTCCTTTACCTCGCTAAGCCAATAATAAGAATGGTAAGGAGGGAAGGTTGGGCATGAGGCTAGCAATCCCATCCCGTAAAAACAAACACCACTGCTACCGAAACTTCAAGCCTTTAGCTTGAAGCCCTATGCTCCACTGGGAACGTAAGGGAGTAAAAAAATCCTTATTTCTCGAACATAAAATAGGAGTGGCAGTGAAGAGACAACGTACTTCTGCTGCATAGTAAGCTCTTTTAACTGCATTCTTCAGGTGCTGTGTTATTATTTCGCTGATGTTGTCACCGAGAGACTGCAGTTTTATGAATAGTGGTTTTTTCGGAACTGTTGCCATAATGACTCTCCCAGCTTCTGAGTTCATATTTTTCTCAATGAACTTATTCAGATAACCGTTTTTCTAAGTAATTCTCTAATAATCTTAAGCTCCTCATTGAGGCAGTCGTGTAAAAAGATTAACCTAGCTCTATGGACCAGACACTTTATCATGTTACGTTTATATTTCAAAGGCAGAAATGAATGTACTAAACTGTTGTTGTAGGTTTCCTATACGCATTCCTTCTAAGTTTGCCATCTTTCCTTGTCATGAAGATGTCTAGGAATGAGATGCTGTCATTACTTTCTTTCTCTGTGGTAAAGTTTATTGCTGAATGGGCATCATCAAACCTGTCAAGGATGTTCATGCATCATTCTCGTTTCTCACAACCAGAAATATATCATCCATACTGTTAATATGCAAAATCCCTTATATACTGTGGCGTTTTCACTGTACAACATCACTGTAATGTAGTTTCGGGAAATTACAATTTTTTCGACCTCTGTATTTTTTCCATAAAAAACCTTTGAATGTTCTTCAAACGAATTCTAAATCTATAAAACGTTTCTGACCAATTCATTTAGGCTTCAGGATAACAGTGTTTTGTGATACAGAAGTTTTATTCCATGAGCATAGTTCAACGAACTATAGGCTGAAAAATCTGTTTGCTTGTTATTTATGAGACAGTCAATTACAGCAAGCAGTTATCTTTACTCAAAAGTTTTCGTTTAAGTTATATTCCTGAAATTTCGAGACGAAAACTTTTCTCTGTTATATATTCACCTAACAAACGTTTCACTTACTATGCAACACACGGCAAAGTTGAACTTTAAGCACCACTGAGTCCCAACGGCCAAATGACCTTGAACGCACCAGCCACATGATAATGGCGACTTTTGCGTATAAAATACATAATTCCTGAAAATAATGAATTAGAAGGCATGAAACCATCACATAGGATACGTTTCTCTAATATGTGACGAAAATATCTGTTTTTGACTGGAGTATCAACATAATAATTTAAATACACTCCGTGCATATAATTATATAGTCTTCTAACCCTATCAATAACTCCAATCAGTCAGCTGAACATGTACCGGAGTACATTCTTAGAATCGAAAAAGCAGCTAATGGTCAAAACAGTAATATTAAAAGAAAATATGATGGTACCCCAATGGTTCAAGTAGGCCGCGAGTGATGAATTCTCAAAGAGGTGACCAATTTCACATCTACTGACTTCATAAGGAGCCAGCCAGACGAACAGCCATACACTTGCTTCACGTTTACGACTAGGCTGCACTGATGATTATCACTGATGATTAGCAAGAGTCGCGTTTATTTGACATCCGGGTTATATGTGCTATAAGACCAATCCCTAGAAGTTCGATCTTTGACATCCTTGCGAAGTACTGAAATCTTGCTAAGCTTTCATTGTAATGCCAGACAACGTCTTCAGTGCAGACTTCAAAATGAAGCTCATTTAGCAATTAAACTAACCAGCTCAAAAAACGCAACTAAATCAAAATCATTCACCCGATCTGCGAATTTGTTCTATTATTTCAGTGCTCGAATCTGTGGTGATAATAGCAGTTAGCTTCCTTGTAAAGGATACAGAACTTCACTAAAGCAATGTTTTACGACTAGCAAATTAAACATAATACCAGGGACTTTTCATGTGCGTGATATCCAGATTTGGTCTGAAATTCATTCGTATTAATGTAGGTTGTCTCGTATTTGTCTTTTTTATTCAGTTTATGGGTGATTAATTTGCTGAAAGAAATACCTAACCTTATTTATTCAATAATCAGAAAAATTTTTCAACTTTTTAACTACAGACTTGTGATGCGAGTAAATAACATACTCTGACAGTAAATTCTTAATGTTAAACAATAAATTATTAAACAGTGTAAACTTATTCGAGTCACCTTAAAACTGGAATTTAATAAATTAAACCAGAAGGTTTACGAAAACAAAAACAACGGGTTTTTTCTTAATTTGTTAAAACCTCCAGCGTTGATATTGTTATCGTTTGATTGGTCGGTTCAAAGAACCCAATTCGTGGATATCAGTGAGCTGCTCTCTGTCTTTTAACATCCTCCTCAAATTTTACACTTATCGATGAAAGTAAAATCACATACAAAGTGTAGGGATGTAGAAAAAAATCAACCAATACCATTTTACGAAGAATCTAAGTAAACTTTTGTGAAAAAATAGAAACTAGTATGGGGGGAATATTATTCATGTGCTTTACAAACAGGATTGGCCAATAACCGAGCCTATTATCTTCAAATTATGCCTGTCTCATAGGTCATCATTCAGTATATATATACGAATGATTTGAACGAAACATAAGTTGCAATACTAACTTGTTCAAGTTACTTCTGTAAAATCAAAACTTCAGAACCAAGTACAGGTAATTATTTAATATTTGTAATTTATGCCATATTTTATCTAATTTGTAGATCCATCATGCCCGTACAAATATTCATTCTCTTAATTATGCTGTACACCGTTCTCAGTGTGCCAACACCGTACTTTTCACAACCGTCATCTTCCTCGGTATCAGCATCATCCTCGTCAGTTACAGATACACAACATGGTCAAAACAGTCAAGCCAATCAACAAAAATATGTAATCAAGACAATTACCAGTGTACCACTTTATCGAATTGTTAGCTACTTTACAAATCGCACAGAAGAAACTGAGACAAAAGTGCACGACTTGGGTATTCCTCATACTATGTATTATACACATATCTACTTCGCATGGAAGTCTGCAGATCAATTAATGTCATCAGTAAGTTTCATTATTTGTTAGTACATACATTTTAAGATATAAGTATATGAATAATGACTGTAAATGATAATAACAATAGTATAATATTGAATATTAGGTTTATGTTTGTGTATAATATTAAAATAACAGTGAAATTAGGATTTCAATGGGCTTAATTCTAAATTTTTATTGTTATTTCCGAAACAGATAACTTTGGAAGCTGGTAGTCCTAATAGTACACTGAATGGTGCAAATTTAGTTTTATCAACACCTAAACTTGGTGACATGTATGCTCCAGGCCTGATAACAAATGTTCTTGATTTTGTTACAAAATGTTATGATTGGGCTAAGCCAACAGGTTTATCAATTCCAATAAGTACTGCATTCGTATCAACGCTAAGAGTTGCGGCATCCGATGAAGTGAACCAAGCATTGATTAAATATACAGCAGAACAATTCTTGAGAGCAACAGTTTCTGGATCTTATCACTTTGTTTGGGAAAAAGATTCACAAATGGTAAGCAAATGTTATTTGTATAAAATTCATCTCAACAAAAATTTTTTGATAGTACAATAATAATAGTCTATGCAGATTATTTAGGCTAAGCATTAATCCTACAGGGAAAACCTCTGTATAGAATCGGTTTCTTAATGTTATAATAAAAATGACTAGTTATTTCATGTGTCAGAAGCTAAATGAAGTGAATTTTGTCAAATTGGTGGTATTTCATAGGTGTTACATGTGAGATTAGATCACTTTTCAGAGAAATGAGTATATTTATATTTGAACTCATGCAATACATTATTTTTAAGCAATAATTGAAGAGTAATTAGTATCTGAAAACCCTTGTCTACCAATAGAAGTCATTTGTCCCAGCTTAAAATCTGTCAACAGTGGAGCCATCAAAGCAATAGAATTCTGGTGTATTTTGGAAAATGAGTTACCATTTGGTGTTGTCGCTGAAGTTAAATTATAAGAAGTCACATTTCAGTATAACTGTTTTTTATTAGCTATTATTTAATTTATTTTAATCGACGGTAAATATCATTGAGAATGTTTCATAGGCTTTGTTTTTAATTCTCCGGTAAATGTAAACTTTTTTGTTTCAATTTCAGAAAGAATTCATGACAAAACTAGGCTATGAACAGGTTGCATGTGGAGGCAATGAACAATCCCCTTCTCCGTGTGATTGGGTTTCAATGGGTTTAACATCTGAGAAAGCAAAGGAGCAATGTATCTATCGACTAATTAATACAAAATCAAGTCAAGACGGTTTGCAGATTAGATAAATAAACAGTATTCATCATTTTTATCTTATCGTATTTAAAAGATACCTAAATTGGACAAAAAACACTCCACGACTTGAGGTTAGCAAATACCGTAGAGACTACACAAAAAAGAACATTTCACTGAAATCCTAATAAAGACTAAGATAATCCACCTACATATTCAGATTTTGTTTTTTGTTTATTCTGAGAAATAACTCTGTTTCCCAGTGTTTTCTTGATTTTTTTAAAATGCATTTTTAAGTGTTCAGCAATATTGTATTTTATCTATATTTTTAAGAGTTAAACAAGTACTGAAGTCTTGTTCATCATGGGTTTTCTTTTGAACTTTTCATCTAACTTTTCCCAACTTCCAACTTCTTTATCTTTCAGAAATTTCCATTTTCGTACTATTCATTTTTGTTGTCCGTTTCACTGTCGTCTCATCTAATGAGAATTTTTCAGCTAAATTTTCACTTTGATGAATATGTGTTTGTGAAGAATCATTTTTGTACACTTTATTTTTAATTGTTTTTGTATGTTTCAGTATTACATAGTCTCTTTCATTAAAATGCTTTGGGAAACAAATATTGCCTTGTTCTTTTGTATTCATTCCGTTGAAAGTAACAGTCTTCACATAGTTATCCTTTTGGCTATAAGTTTTGAAGTGTATAATGAATCCCACAGCGATAAATAGAAGTAACAATGACTTAATCCGTATGCATGATATTAGTGAATGTAGAAGTTTTCTAAATTTATTAATTAAAGTCGAAGCCTGAGAGAAGCGCCTTCACTTTATCTGAATGTGTACATGTTTGTAATGTCAGAAAAATAAGGTGGATCAGTTTAGGTTGTTGAGTAAAACTGAGTTTTGGTTTTAGATGTGTTTTATTTCTAAAAACAGTCGCTTTCTTTATACGATAACACTGAAGAAGTAGATTACACTTAAATCATTTCGGCAATGTCGTGTTATTTGTAGTCGAAATCAGTTTACACCCAACTTTTAGTAAAAATCAGGTAAAACATACTTCGCATCACATTATGAAGTGGACCAATTTTAGCCTAGCAGTAGATGTTTCTTACATTACCTTGTGTAGTAAATAGCTTCTGTAATACGAATTCTGATGCAGTCACTCAAGCTCTGTACAATGATAACGATTACAGAAAGGAAGTGTGTAGCAATAGTTTAAAGAGAATAAGGTCCAAATAATTATCTCCTATATAATAAGTCATCTGTATTGATAAGAAACTGTCGCTTAACTAAATTATTGGGAATCCGTTCTAATATTTTGATGTCTACCTTCTGCACCTTTGCTAATATGTTCGCATCAAATCTTTAGTATCGGCTTCCGCGTAAGATGTATTTATGAAACCATGTTTCATCACACAATCAACCTTAAGTTCTAAATTCACGTTTAGCTGTTTTAGGTAAGTGGTATAATGGTCATTGTTGTCACCTCAGAAAAGCAAAATTATTTGAAATAATTCCCTGGAATTTATTTTCCCACTAGTCTATTTTTATGCCAGACATTATCATTAGTAGACCGGTAATTAAATTAATCTAACAGTAATTGTTCCTCTATACATTTATTTACCCGTTGATATTTCTGGACTGAATTCATTGGTCTGATTCTGGCATATGATCTCCCTGAAGGGATACCTTCACATTACTTTGGGTTCCTATTTGAAGTTGCTTGTCTATTGGTTGGACAAAAGATAGTAGTTACACCTCAGCAGACAGAGAAGTCTCACTTAGAACACTATCAATAACTGGAATGTCGAAACATAAAGCTCTACTCTCCTGAAAATCACTGAACCCATTTCCACCCATACTCTGACCTTAGTAAAATATCACCTGAAAACATAAAATTTAATATAATAAAATATTGGGTTACTACTAAACAAACGTATATATAGTTTGAAGATGAAAATTCAGGCATTTTCCTATGAAAGCAGGTTATATTCTAAAAAGATTTTCAAATTTACTTAATCAAACGACCTCAGTATTTTGATTTGTGCTTAGTACTTTTGTGAGTAACACGTAGGTAAGAGTTTATTTCAATGGCATAGAAACTCGGCAGGTGAAAAAGTATTGGCGTGACTTTAAACCATGATTCAATAAGTCGGAAAAGGTAACTCAGAAACGCAATCATGAAACAGTGTACAGTGAATATAGCAATATCAATTAAATGGAGAAAGACTGGTCAGACAAACTTTGTCAACCACACAACAAATATAATTTTAACGTATGTTTACTTCTCATTTACAGCCTACCTAATTTGGAACTATTAGGTTATATCTTGATCACAGCTCATCTAAATAGGAATATTCCGACAAAGCAGGTGATAAGGGTCTGTCAGCATGAATCAGGTTAAACAAAAAATATCCTATAAGCAACCGAACAGTAGGGCATGATATAACTTTAGCTTAGAACCGACTGAAGCAAAACGTGTATATATTTTGATATCATTTATGTCATAAGCAGTTGAAAAAAAATCATAAAAACAATCAAACAATCAGCTCATATTAACGTCCTAAATTGATTGCTTTTGCTTTATTCAGATTTATTTTTAGGAAGAAGTGGATAAAATCACTCACAAAATAGAGTAGAGAACATAAATATAGTTCCGAATGTTGTATACGGTGAATTCTTCAAATAGACTTCCGTCTAATGACTAAGGATGTTTTGTTTTACAATCATAAAAGAATATTTTGGTATATTTACTGTACTCTGAATTGTTTGTGCAACTTTTTAAAGGTATTTGATGACCCTACCTGCATTATGCATGACATTGATTGGTAGTGCTTTCCAGTAGCTATTATCATGACAGAAACTATCAGTTATTGAAACAAATGATGATTCTTTTTAAAAATTATTTAAAAGCTATGTAGACCTCCTTAAAATGACAGACTTATTTTAGATTAACAGAAAAATTAAAAGGTAGAGATAATAATAATCAACGAATTAGTGTTATTAACAACATTAATGCTTAAATAACATCTAATGAATAATAGTATCAGTGGATTACAGTTCAATAGCATCAGTAAAACAATACAATGAATATAAGAAAATCAGGAAAGATTACAATACAGATTCATGAATTTATAGTCTCTGCTAAAGGCCGGTGCGGTAGTATTGGATAGATGTGCTTCTCCTGTACACATAGCACCAGTTGTTTCAGGCGAATCACGATAGCCTCTGCTGTCTGGAGTATGCGGTAACTGGATGTTCTTGGCAATTTGCTTGGTACCTGATACATGATGGAGAAAGACTTGCCAATATAAGGCTTTGTGGCCGGTTTGGACCAGATGGTCTAATATCTCGCTATCGATGCTTCTCACTACACCTTCATTTAACCACATGGGTAGATGTTCTCGAGCACAAAATATCAAGTTCCTGGAGCTACGCCTAATATAACTCGCTCCACAGGAGCAGTTGAATCGGTAGATAAAATTGGAAGTAGTTGGTCTCGGCACTTCATCTTTCATTAGAGGAATCACCATCCGTCGTGTAGAAAATAAGACTTTTAATTTGCCATCATTAAAAGTACTTTGAATAGAATTTCTTGTTAGTAATTATTTCACCAGGTGCGTCACCATTGAACTGCAGTCGTATATATAAAGGCTTCTTGTTTACGGATATAGAATACAGTTTTGTTGTTCAGCGAAGAAATTTCTTTTCAATGACTTCATTTTCAAGCTGTGCAGTCGTATTTATATTACAGAAAAAGTTATTAAGTGGCAATAAATAATAATAATTATTATTGTTCCCTTGGGTTCCTAGTGGAACATAGGGCTTCAACTACACGTCTCCACTTGCTTCTGTCTTGTGCTGTACTTTTCAGTTGCGTCCATGTTATTCCATACTGTTTCATCTCCTCCTCACACGATCTCCTCCATGTCACCCTTGGACGTCCCACTCGCCGCTTCCCTTTCGGGTTCCACTCGAGGGCTTGACGCGCGATGTCATCCAGCGGCCTCCTCAGCGAGTGTCCTATCCATCTCCACTTTTGTTTGTTCCCATAGTTTTTTGTCGGTGATTCTTCCCGGCCATCTAATCTTCAGTATGGAGCGAAGACAGTTGTTGATAAAGGTCTGCAACCTGTTGAAAATATTCTTGGTGACCCGCCAAGTTTCTGATCCGTAAAGCAAAATTGACTTCACGTTTGTATTGAAAATCCGAATTTTGTTGCTGATGCTGAGGAGTGACGAAGATTTCCAGATTGGTTTCAGGTTGATGAATGTGTTTCTCGCCTTCCCGATTCTCGCTCGATTTGACATCCTCGTCCGTTCCTCCTGTGGTTGAGACAATGCTCCCTAGATAAGTAATTGAATGAAGTAACCTCTTTCAAATCCCTCCGTTGATGGTGATTGGCACTGGATGTTGTTGCTGTTGTTGGTTGGTTATTTTCATGACCTCCGTCTTGTCTGTGTTCACCTGGAGTCCTGTCTTTGCTGCTTCTTCGACCAGTTTGTCGGTTTTTGCTTGTAAGTCTTCGATTTTGTGTGACATCAAACATAAATCATCCACACGCAAAATCCAGGTCTTCTAGATTCTTCACGTCGGTCCAGGATATCCCTGTCTTCTCGTTTCCCACTGTCTGATGCATAATCCAGTCCACCACAATTAGGAATATCATTGGTGATAATAAGCACCCTTGTCTGACTCCTGTGTTTACTCCAAACGCTTCGCTGAGTTTTCCGTTGTGGATCACTTGACATGTGCCGTTGTCGTACAGTTGTTGAATAAGGTTGATGAATATTTGGGGTACGCCGTAGTACTCGAGTAGTTTCCAAATTACTTCGCGGTCAACGCTGTCGAAGGCCTTCTCAAAGTCTATGAAGTTGAGGTAGAGGTTTGACTGCCATTCCATGCTTTGTTCGATGATAATGCGTAGAGTTGCAATTTGGTCAGAACATGATTTGCCTTTCCTGAATCCAGCTTGTTCTGGTCGGAGTTCTGTATCCGGTGCGTCCTTGATTCTCTCCAGGATGATGCGACTCAGGATTTTACTTGGCGTCGACAGGAGCATGATTCCTCGCCAGTTCTTGCAGAGTCCCAGGTCGCCCTTCTTTGGTAGTTTCACCAAATTGCTCAGTCAATATACCTATATAAGTGATAAGAATAACGATAATTAAAATGTTATAAGGGGTAGAGTTGAAGTGGATGAATTAAAAAATTATTAAAGATTGTTTTTTAAGTGAATTGATATCAGTTTATTATTTTTACTGCCACTTAATAACTTTTCTGTAATACGACTGTACAGCTTAAAAATAAAGTCGCTGAAAAGAAATTTCTTCGCTGAACAAAATAAACTGTGTTTTTACTTATGAATAAATGAGTATTTTTTGGGATATAAAATAGTCCTTTTCAACTTTCTGAGTCATATGTTTCCCGATGAATTTGTCTGCATAGCTGTTTTCAATCAAGGTATCACATATAATCCTTAGTTCATCTTCAAATATCTCTTTTAGACATATAGCTCTAACCCTGTTGCTGAGGGTCTTTACTAAATTTCTTTTGTACTAGAGAGGAACGAAGCTATGAAAATATGTATATTGCCCTGTCCATATGCTTTTCCTATGCAAA